GGCCTCAAATCTCTGCAGCCGCGGGGGGGTGGAGGGCATTTGCTCGGAAGAGCGCTTCCTTACACCCTCGTGCCCGCCTGGTGTCGTGGGGGGGGCTGCTTTGTTCAGGCATCCCCTCTTTGTGGGCTGCTCCAGGGAGGGACCGAAAGGCAGAGAGCTGAGTCCCGGGGACAGCAGCATTCCCACCTGCTGCGGCTATCACGATTGTGCAGTGTTTGGACGGGCTCGAGCGGAATGACAGAAGTAGAGTTTCGGCCCATGTTTGGCCTTGCAACCTGGTTGAGCAGGAGTGGTAGGAATGCACTCCTGCTGCCGGGTTTCTAGGTGCCCTGGTTGCTTCATCCTGGGGGGAGGTGAGTGAAGCGGAGTCATCTGTGGAGGCGCACTTGGAGGACTCTCCTGGCAAGAAAAGAAAAAGGGGCCGTTGGGCTGGACTGTGTTGTTGCTTTTTGCCTAAAAGTTACTGTTTCTAAGATTCTTGTGGATCTCCCAAGTCTGTCTTGTTGGTTCCCAGAGCTTTTCCCAGCCTTTGGTCTCTGGAACCATTTTGGGCTGGCCACAAACATGCAGGAGTGTCCACCTGAGCAGCTGGAAATCTTGGGGGCCTGTGCTCAGTTTAACTGGGGCCAGTTGGCACCCTCTTGGGTTCCCCATCTTCTTTTGGCCTAGAATTGGGCAGCTAAGGCGGCTGAAGGGAGGGGATCTTCTGGTGTGATGGCAGGTACAGACATACTTTTATCCCACTGACCAGACAGGTTGCAAAGCTTATTAAAGTGGTTTGGCCAGAGGCAGAAATGATCCCCATGTTTGGAGCATTAGGAAGGAAGGAAGGAAGGAAGGAAGGAAGGAAGGAAGGAAGGAAGGAAGGAAGGAAGTCTCCCAATCCTCTGTGTGTGTGTGCGCATGCGCGCATGCACACCTGCCACTTGTATGATGTAGCACACCTGCCTCTCCTCGGTCTTGCAGGAGGTGTGGTGTGGTGGATCGTGTGATGAATGGAGAGCTCTCTGCATCCCTGCCTCCAGCTGGGTGTGTGAGAGCATGGCGCTCCATGTGAGGAAGCACTTCTGAGCCCCTTCCATATTCAGAGGGCTGGAAGTCTCTGGCGTGATCTGTGTGTGCCTGAGAGGGTGGGTGCTTCTCTTCCATTTGCCAGCCAGCCCCTCCCTCCCTCCCCACTTGTCCTTCTCCGTCTCCCTGCATCCAGTTATGGTGAAAGAAAGATTATTTCTTGCTGTCTCCGCTGCTGTGGAGGAGAACTGAGCCCACAGGAGAAGGTGGAGAAACCCTCAGAGAGCTTTCTCTCGCTGGACGAGCTGCCCCATTCAGCAGGTATGTGCAGCTGCTGGCAGAAGGGCAGATTAATCCGGGGGAAGGGGGACAGGCAGGCTGCCACCGATAAGCTAACTAAGAGCCCTGAGTCTGTCTAGAACTATTTCTCCCCCCTCCCTGAGTTTCAAAGACAAACGTGTGCCTTGTGCTGCTAGCAGAAGTTAGCTTCGGCTTTCGGTTACCTCAGACGATACAGATGATGGCTATTTAGTCCAGCACTTATGGGAGGAGGGATCAGCTGGGGGGGCTTACTTCAGCCACAGGCTGTAGATTAATCACCAATCTTGCTTGCTTTCTGTTGGAATAACAGCAGCTTGTTTCACAAGACTGTGAGGGGCAGCTAACAGAGGCGGCCAAATGTGCTCAGCTTGCTGTGCCTTTGGGGCCCTCAGCAGCTCTGCTCGGTGGTTGCTGCTTTCACCCCTAGGCATCAGGCCTAAAAGGTGGGCAATGGGTGAAAGTTCTACTTACCGTTTCTTTCTTCCATTGTTTTAAAGTCATTTATGGGAGACTCAGTAGCATGGATACATGGCAAATGCTGGTGACACCACCCTCTGTGGCGCCCTGGAAAGCTGGCAGAATTCCCAGTCTTTGAGGAACACTGCGGGGGTTGCTGCAAATGTGGGTTGGATCTTGCTTTTCCAGCTTTGGAGCGGGGTGGGGATGGTGAGTGGGCCCAGAAAGGGAAAGCCTGCCCGGGGCACTGGGGAGAGCCACCCGCCCCGCACCTGCCTCTGGACGCATTCAGGCGACGAACGGCGCGCTCCGCACAGATGAGCCGTGTTTGCAGCTCGGCTCCGTGCGCCAGAAGTCGTCGTCGGGTGGTCCCAAGCACCTTTGGCGTGTCTGCGGGGAAGGGGGTGTGGGGGAAGATCGGCTGGGCTGTCTCTGGCCGTGGATTCTTTTGGTCACCGGC